TCTCAGTCCATCAATTTCATGGGCCTACGTATCTGCTCTGGCCACGGCCTGGTCTCCATCCCCACTGTGGCATTAATGCAGAACAAATTGAGACATATCCTCTATATAATTAGTTCCAGAATTTAAAAAGATTTACGGTATAATAATAGAGGCAGCCCCGCGGAATCCTTTCATTGGGGACTCAGAGTGGGAGCTCAGGGACCGACTCCTGGTGGCATGAGAACAGAGGGTAACCCTGGCTCCTGGCTCTTCCATCTGGGGAAGAGGCGAAGTCGGGTTGCATGGGCATCTGGGCATCTGGCACTCATGGGCACCGACCCCAACTCAGCCAGAGAGGAGAGCGTGAAGTGTGGGTGCAGAGCTGGTTGAAAAGATAGAGTTAATTCGCAGGGGAGAAGAGGGTCCGGGAGCGGCTACCACGGAAGCCCTCCCGAATAGCCCCATCCTTTTCCGTTCTTTCTTTCTTTCCTCTCTTCCTTTCTTTTTTCTTTCTCTTCTTTACTTCCTCCTTTTCTCTCCTTTTCTTTCTTTCCTTTCTCTCTCTTTCTTTTTCTTCTCTTTTTTTAAAAGAAACGAAGCTGGGATTCTACCAGGTCTGAGAACCATTCTGGGCGGCTGGATTCCTGAGAGTCCGGTCTGCGGGGAGGAGACAAGCGTTCAGGCTGTCTATCCTGCGCCTGGGACTCCAGCGCCCTCGGGGAGCAGGGACAGGCCGAGTCCAGCGTCTGTATCTCTCCGACACGCGCGGCCGGAGGTCGAGCGCCTGGTCGCCGCGGTCTGCGGCCAGGGCCTTGACAGATCGCAGCGCGTCCCGTGTTTATTCAGTTGTCCGCGGCCGCAGGGTGACGCCGGGAGCACGGCCCGGGCTTGCACGCCAGTCCCTGGGGCGGTGGCAGCGGCCGCCGGGCTCGCTCCATCCATCACAGTGGCTGACAGCCCCGGGGTGAACGTGGGGGCTGAGCGCTCCCCTCCGCCCTCCTTCCCAGCGCCGCATTTTCATCTTGTAATAATTATGCCCCTTCCAGGCGGGGCGCCTGGGCTTCACCAAGGAACCCAGGCCGAGTTCTCAGGGTCTCCCCTTTCCTGCTAGCTTACTTATCGGCCTTGAGCATGGGAGCCGAGCTGTGAACTGCAGCCCACCCTCCTTTCCAGTCGTGGGACGACTCAAGGCCGTGGGCACTGGTTTGGCCAATAAGGAAACTGAGGCTCCGGTGGCTGCAGAGTTCGGAATCCGGTTAGGGGCACGCAGCTGTTGGTTACCGTAATGGAAGTTCCATTCTCAGGCCCCTGCGCGCTGCTCTTAGCCCTCCCCTGCTCAGCTCGCCCTTCCTTCCTCCTCCAGGCCTGTTTCCTTTTCTGTAGAGTGAGGAGTTGAGTCTCCAGCTCTGTCTACGGGACCCACAGGCAGAGGAGGGAAGGCGGGTGAGAAAAGGAATGTCCACTTCTGTTCTGGGTGGTCTTCATTTCCTTGGACCTCAGAGGGTCTCAAAAGCTGATCAGAGGTGGAGGAGAGCACCTGTGTGTGTGCATGTGTGCGTGTGCGTGTGTGCGTGCATGTGTGTGTGTGTGTGTGTAAAGTGTGACAATCCTATCTGCCAGGTTGTCTGTCCCGAAGCCCTCACCTGGGCGTCAAGGCCTCAGTAGCCCCACGTCTGCATGGGCAACCGCAGAGCTGCAGCAGAGACGGTTCCCAAAAGTGCAGGTTCGGGCAAGGCGACAGCAGATGTTGGCTCCCCAGAGCTGGCTTAGTGACACCTGAGCTCCGGCGACGGGTAGGGGGCGTTCAGAACCTTCCTGCGGGGTCCTGGGACCCTGCCAGAGGGTCTCAAAAGCTGATCAGAGGTGGAGGAGAGCACCTGTGTGTGTGCATGTGTGCGTGTGCGTGTGTGCGTGCATGTGTGTGTGTGTGTGTGTGTGTGTGTAAAGTGTGACAATCCTATCTGCCAGGTTGTCTGTCCCGAAGCCCTCACCTGGGCGTCAAGGCCTCAGTAGCCCCACGTCTGCATGGGCAACCGCAGAGCTGCAGCAGAGACGGTTCCCAAAAGTGCAGGTTCGGGCAAGGCGACAGCAGATGTTGGCTCCCCAGAGCTGGCTTAGTGACACCTGAGCTCCGGCGACGGGTAGGGGGCGTTCAGAACCTTCCTGCGGGGTCCTGGGACCCTGCGACAAAACAGGATCACTTCTCAGCTCTGTGGGCCACCGGCACTCCACCAACCCGGACAGCAAGGTCTAGGAGAGGGGTCGCCTAGTTGGAAGGGACCGCCTCACTGCTCTTCCCCGCTCCCTCCCCAGGACGGAGAGCACCAGGGCAGAGACCCGCCCGGATTTTGCTTTTGCTTGACTGTGTTTCCCTCCCACCCGCTGCGGTGCTCATGCCAGCCCACTCCTGGGCAAAACTTACTTTTAATGTTTTGGCAGAGATTTCAATGTCTTCACTCCATCTGGGGTTTTAAAACACAAAACTCACATTCAAGACAGCCTGTCTCCAGACTGCCCCCTCCCCACCCATCCCCGGGGAGGATACACACACACACACACACACACACACACACACTCACACTCACAAAGGAGGGTAAAAGAGAAACAACTTTAGCCCTTTCGTTTAGAAATGGCAACCCCTGACTTTCGCCAAGAGTTACTCTCCCCTCTTGGTGCTTGGTTCTCAGTTAAGAAAAAGGACTTGAAAATTAAATAGAAGGCAGAGAGGAAGGAGAGGGGAGGTGGCGGTCTGGGGTTCCAGGTGTAACTCGGGCGTGGGTTTTGTCTCTACAGGACTTTACTCAAAACTCCAAACGCGCTCGGGTCTTCCCAGCCCCTGAGCCCTCCACAGGTTTAGGAACCGGTTTGCAGGAGCGCAGTGGGCAGCAGAAAGAGCAGCCGGCCTTAAAAGCCTTCCATTTCTTTAATTAAAAAGAAAACGGGGGAGCGTTTGGCTTCTGGGTAGAGAGAAAGCAAAACCAAGCATCAAAGAAAGCTTAGGAGAGCGTCCACGACCCCGAAGCAGCCAGAGGAGCAAGCCCAGGGCTCACACGTCGCCAAGAGGAGAGAACCGCGCGCAACGACTGCATCCCCAGCCCGCGCGCTCTTCCCGCGCATAGTCCGGACTTGCGGAGACCGCGTTTACATAATGCAAGTCAAAACTAAAGCCTAGGAAATGAGAAGTCGAGGTCGTTGAGAAGTTCGGTGTTTTGGTGAAACTGCAACTACTTCACTGCTGCTTCACGCAGGTTTGGCAGGAAAGCCTGGGGTCCGGGGCCGGGCTGCAACTGGCAGCTTCCCGCCCCGCGCGCCTGGCGGTCCCAGGCTGCGCCGTCGCCGCCTCCCGGGCGTTTCCACCAGCCGCTTCGTCGCCGCCTCGTGGGCGTTCCCCCCAGCCGCTGAAATGCGCTCTACTCCGGGCTCTCGACCCGGCCCGTGGTCCCGACAACTTTAGAAGACCCAAACAAAACCAGCCAAACAGACGACCGAAAAACCAACCTCAAACACCTGCTCTGGGGAGCGGGGCTCCCAAAGAGCCACTAGGTGGATGGAGGAGTCTAATTTTGCGAAGCCATGCGCTCGGAGCTCCCGCCATGGGAACGGTGCCAGTGAAAGCACCCTGCCCGCTTCCCGACCCGCCTAACAGATTTCGGCCCCTGGTCAGTCTGCGTGCGGATAGGTGCTCCGACCGACCGGAGCCAAGGCCCCAGGAGCCACCCTCTCCCCGCAGGCTTTGGGTCCAAACACTCCCCAGGCCTCCCTCTCCATCTGGGCGCCGGCACGCCTGGGAGCCCAGGTCCTCGAGCGTTTCCTCGAAGGTTTTCCTCCCTCCCAAGCTGACCGCGGTTTTCCCGGCTTATCCGTAGACGTATACACTCCTCCGGGGAAAGGGGACTGAGCGCTGCCGAGTCCCCGGACCTCCCCAAGCAACCAACCACCAGAAGATCCGAACACTCCTGGAGCCTCCTAACTGATGCAACCCCGGGTCACCCGCAGGAGCACTTTGGCCTTAAGTCTGGACCTTCGGAACCCACACGTGGTTCGGAGATTACAGCTGTCATTCCAACCCGACCGCTCCAGGTGTCAGACCGGGACTCGGGGGTGCAAACAGAGGCGTCCGCCTCTTTGAAGCCCGGGAGAGACCCGGCGCTTTCCTGAGGTCCCCGCCCTCCTGGAAGTCCCCGGCCCCTCCCTCCACCCCCCTTCCCAGAGTAGCAGCCCCAGCCCAC